GAAAGGGTTAAACCGGGTGGCTCCTTGGAGGCAAAGATTCTGAGCCTCCGTCTAACATACTTTGGACATGTTGTGAGGAGGGACCGGTCCCTGGAGAGGGATATCATGCTTGGGAGGGTGGAGGGACAGCTCAGGAGAGGAAGGCCCTCTATGAAGTGGATTGATTCAGTGACTGGGATAATCGGGATGGGAGTGTCAGAGCCAGTGTGATTGGCACAGGACAGAGCAGAGTTTAGGGCTGTTGTACATAGGGTAGCTATGAGTCACAAGCGACTCGACGGCACATAACAACAACAACAACAACATAAATTACAAGAAAGAAGGTTTTCCATCTTTTTCCCCAAAGATCAGCTAGTGGATTTGAACCAACAGAGAGGCATCATCCTTGTGTTTGGAGTACACTTCCCTATAGGCTACACCAGGGCTATAAAACACAACATAATTATCAGTAAAGAATAGAAGATATGAAGAGGTGTACAATAATTACAGATAATAAATGTAAAAACTATTACATATATACACAGTAAAATAGTGATTTCTTAGACTGATACTGAGGCCTAATAAAACTCAGCCTAGTAAAATCCTGTGGATCACTAAAGAGCATTGTGTTATCTGCAACTTGTCATGAGGATGACACAGGCCATGGCAGCATTTCATATTCTTCTATATGGGAACAGGCTTGAAAGCAACCAATAATAACAATCACATAATTTTAAAAGTCAGAAACTAATTTCAGTCTAAAGCCTTTCTTATAATTGACCCTTTCCAAAGGCCCTATAGTCACCGAATTCATTTAAACTTTGTCCTAAACACCAGTTGCAGTAAGCCAGCTATGCACAGGCTTATTTTCTCTTACTTATTAATCTGTAATGCATAAATTCACACTTTTTAATATGATAAAACTGAGCACTACAGAATAGTAGGTAGCACAAGTAAGCCTGTGTGCACCTTGCTTGTTAAGTTGCCTCAGAAAATGTTCATGGTAAGTGCTTGTGCTGTTGATGTACCTCAGAAAATGTTCACACACATGGAAGCTTCAGAGTAAAAAACCAGGGTCCAGAAACAGACAGGCTGAGATGATGTCAGGATACTCACTCATATCTCTTGCTCTCTACATGCCTGCTGTTTTCCTTTCTCTCCTCAAATCCTTGTGCTCTACTGTACATAGGGTTTTCAAAGGCCTGTAATTTCAGAAGAGGATGGCCAATCCTTCTTCTTAGTCTGTCTCAATAGTGTCTGACAGACAAGCATTCTACAGAAAAGAGTAGATGAAAAACATGTACCAGTTAAAAAGACCAATATTCAATGTTGCTGCCCACCCGGCTACATATTTGGTTGGTTTTGGGTTTTGGTGTTTTTTTAAAGAAAAAATCCACCCCTTCCCTACTCCACCACCAACCCTTCCTACTTTGCTTACAACACTCAACACCCATCTCGCATTGACCAGCCCCTGATGTGATGTCCTAAGTCTCAAGCAATCAGGATTTCTCGGATTCTGACCATATCATGCTGCTGTCAGTCTCTTATGATGCGGTCATTATGACTTCAATTTAAAGTTCTTAAGTACAACTGTCATGTACAGCTTCTTTTCCTAGAAGATCCTGAGAAAAAGGCCTCTTAAACGTCCACTCCAGGATTGACTTCCTGTGGGTTAATACCACTTGTCTTCTGTTTGCAGCCTGGTGCTGATGCAAGTGGATGGCTTCCCAGTAGCAAGAATGTGTCCTCCAGGAAGAGTGTACAACTTTTGTTTCTTGGCCCGAGGACCCAAAACTAATACTCTGGCAAATGGCGTCCTCCAGGGACCCTCTTCATCTTTCTGTGGGGTACCTGAATGATGCATGGAGATGAGGAAGGCTCTGCCTCTGTCCCCAGCCCGGATTCCCAAAACTAATTCTCTGGCAAATAATGAAACCTATACTTGGACAAGAGGCAGTCGTCAGAACAGAGCAGGGAGACACTGGATGGGTCAAAATCAAGAAAGGGGTCCATCAGGGATGTATTTTGTCTCCATACCTTTTCAATCT